CCTAAGATCCCACCCATTCCAGGGAGAGGGTATTATTTTAATATACATGAATGACACTGCATGTAGCATGGACATAGCATTACATATAAGTAATTGTCATTTCTGGCATTAATTCATTTATTCATTTGCCTGTAAAAATAAGAGTGTGCTTATGAAGAATTTTAAAAAGTAAGACTGACTCTGTGAGTTCAAGGCCAGCCTGGCCTCCAGAGCAAGTGCCAGGATAGGCTCCAAAGCTACACAGAGAAACTCTGTCTCAAAAAAACAAAAATAAGTAAGACTGAAATGCAATGAAAGGAAATTAATTGCACAAATTTATTTCTTCCCCGAATAGAGAGAGAGAATTGCTTTTTAGTAAAATTTAGCTGAACATAATTTCAACCAGCTGAGGAAATGTAAACTTGATTTGGTGCACAGCAGTAATACTTATATTTGCTTAATGCTTGTTATGAAAATAATTCATTCTACATAAAATTTTTAGTGAAATACCACCTGTAGGGATAAAGAAGATGCAAGCAAGTTGCCATACATTTCCTGGCTCTATCCAGCATAAAGAAGACAAAATATATCCAGTATAGTTTTATGGCACGTTTTCCTTTAAGCATGTCCCTTTCCCAAAGTCACTGCTGCAAGATACTGAAAAACATTTAATGAGAAACATAAAACATGTGCAGATAAAGTAGGGGAAATATATGTGTATTGAGAGCCACTAAGAGACAGTGCAGTCAACATCTTTATAATTTAGGTGTCTTGACACAGTTTTATTCCCAACTGGTTGTAGTAATTTTTCTGCTGCCCTGAAAATAAGCAAATTTTATAGTGAGTAGACGCATGAAGCTTGTATATAGTGGTTATAATGTTGCCTCTGGGTTTAGTTTGATCAAAAACATGTTTCATTAGAAAGTAAATCTTGTTGCCTAACAGAATTATGAGTATAAATTGAGCAGAACTCCAGAGACACATATGTTCTCTTCTATTAGTTTAAAAAATGTGAGTTTTTGACATCTAATTCCTAGTTTGACCAGCAAGAGGAGAGAGGTTATAGAAGATTTGTTTATAATGGATTCAAGTTCTTTTGCACTACATATATAGATGCTATCACCTCCCTAATACTTTAGATATGGAATATGGTGATTAAAAGTTTTCTCAAAGAATCAGGAAAGCCTCTTTTCCTTTCCTTCCCTACCAGACCCAATTTCAAGGCTTAGTTTTTCAGTCATTCAGCAAACCATTGAAGATCCATTCAGAAAAAACCCAGAGTGATGGCTCATGGATACGAAAATGTGCTGGCTCTTTACAGATGAACCTGAAAAAAAATTATGGAAACCATTGCCACTGAATTGCCATTGGAGAATTTCCTCTTTGCAATGTAAAACATACAGTAGCTGTGACTCAGTTGTTGATAGAATAGGTGTGTGACTCTCTATTTCCTGGGCTATTTTCTTCCCAGATGAAATGTCTTTGTGGGTTTATAAATTTTCTTGTTTAAAATAGCTATGAACTCTTGGCCAGATCTATTTATATAACACAGTGAACGGATCGCTTATTTCAGGAAAAGCTTTTGAGCTGCTCTCATTACCACCAAGCAGTTAATTAGCTGCTTAGATGTGTGTGTGTGTTAATGGGCAGGGCACCTTGTTGTTCCTTAGAAATTATTTTTATATTTACTTGATGTTCTTTTGTTAAGAATATACTAAAAAAAAAAAAAAAACAGAATATACTCAATAAACCAGGAGGTAATGGTGCATGCCTTTAATTCCAGCACTTGGGAGGCAGAGGCAAGTGGATCTCTGTGAGTTCAAGACCAGCCTGGTCTACAAGAGCAAGTTTCAGGACAGGCTTCAAAGTAATACAGAGAACCCTGCCTCGGAAAAAAGGGGGAGGGGTATTATACTCAATAGTCTTTTTAAAAAACAGGCTGGTTTCTATGTGTGTATACTTAAAGAACACTTTCCTATGGTTGTTCCTACACTTACAGGATCCTCACTAGATATCACACTTGTTTCATTGTGGCCTAATTTCCTGAAACTTCATCCATTCATCCAATGCATATTTATTATCAGTCATTCTTCCAATTACTTCAGTGAACAAAACAAAGTATCTACCCTCAAGACACTATTTCCATGCCGCAACTTCAGGTGATTAAAAAACAAAAAACAAAACAAACAAACAAAAAACAGAAGCCTCGAGCTAATGAAATCAACCAATTTTGTTCCCACCCCAATTTTTAACCTAGAAAAATCCAGACATTTTGTGAGGAAAGGAGACAGTAGGAGGGTGGGAGGAAGTTAATGGTTTCTGAGTGAGTTTAGGCATGTGACCTTTAGGTTGATTGCTTATTCCTGAAACATGGTGAGAGAACCAACAAACACTCTCTTCGCCCTGGGGTCGAAGACAGGGCTGCATCTAATGTAATCTGCAGAGTGCTGGAGTGTTCTTTCAGACTCTCAGAAATCTGAGGTTGAATTCCGGAAGTGAAAAGGGCCATTCTAAAGGTGGCATTAAGCAAAGTTGGCCAGCACTCATTGAAAGGTTTGCCCACTTGTCTCTGGAGACAGGCTGAAGAACTGTATCACATCCTAAAGTTGGGAAGCTTCAACATCGAGGTAGGAGAAAACCATCCCCTTCCCTTCTCTCCTTCACAGCTTGGCCCCTGGATCCTAATTTCATCCTCTCCTTCCCACAGTAACAGTCCTCGCCACCCTTCAGGGCTGCGCATGCGCAGAAAGATTCCGGTGCGGGAGGCCGGGGCCAGGAGATATCGATTGACTCGGTGCTCGGCTCCTCGACTTCTCTGCGTTCGATTGAGGAGTGTGGCCTC